CGCTTGAGCCCAGGAGTTGGAGGTTGCTGTGACCTGTGATGCCACAGCACTCTACCCAGGGGGACAGCTTGAGGCTCTGTCTCAAAAAAAAAAGACTGACTAGTCACCTACACAGAAAGTCAACTTCACATTTTATACTCACCCTTCCTTCGGTGTCAATCATTATTTCTGACATCTTAAAAGTGACTTTAGGATTTGCTGTGCCTTTAGAACAAGACATAAATGAATATAATAAATATCCAAAATCACTCAAACTAGTTTACCAGATCAAATGTCTTTACACATTAGTTAATAGACAGTAATATTATATACAGTTAAGAGCTTACTGCCCAAGAATCTCAGTGCCCCATCTCAAATTCACACTTTTTAATATAGGTGTCAAAAAATAAGAGACAGAAAAACAGAGTCAGTATGAAATTAAGAAGTGAAATTTTATACATTTTTACAATTGAAATGCTGTAAACAGCAAAATGAAAGAAAAATTACCAACTTATTATGAATAAAATCACTTAATCTTTGTTAGCAAAGACGCCTTCTCATGAACATTCCTTGAAGTAACTAGTTTTGTGGACATCCCCACTTTTGAAAATAATTAAAAAGGACCAGCCTTTAATTAAAAATCTATTTCAGTGACACTTTATGAACAAACTGTTCCTACTAAGGCTGTAAATGACCAATGCTGACTATATCTTTGGATGATTGCCAAAAGAATATTATTTGAAGAGGAATAAATGATTGTAAATGCCAATGGGATACATACAGTACCTGTTTTAGGGTAACGGAATGAATCTGCCCTCCTTGTTTCCAACATAGGGGATGTAACATGAATAATTTCCACCTCAGATTCATCATTTTCTTCATATAGAATTCTAAGAATTTTGCCACCACTGGGAGCTTAAAAAGAATTTAAACACTGAAAATGTAGAAAAATTATCCCAGAGAGCAATCATAACTGACCATTCCCTCTAGTATTAGATTTCTCATAGTGAAAAACAATTAATATATAGTATGGCACACCTCTTGGGGGTGGGACACAATTACAAGAGGGACAGTACCTAACAAATGCAATCCATGTATCCTAATTCTTTATACCCTCAATGAATCCCAAATAAAAAAAAATCATTACCTAATAATAATAATTTACATATAAACTATGTTGCCTTTAAGCATGAAACTATTAGTAGCTTATGAAACAGCGAGGTAACTTATTGCTAAGCCACTTTTACTAGTTAAAGGTTATTCCTTTTGGAGGGATATACTGTATGTTACTTACTTTATTATGATGAGGCTATATATTTTAAGTAACTACCAGTAAGATCCAATCTTCATCACTATAGAATCTACTATCCAAGATTTAACATCTGTGCACTTAATTGGCAGCAGAATCTAATAATACTTTAACTAACCTATAATACTAAATTATTTTGAACCTCCTTACTTGTTTCAGCTTCTGGACACCACCAATAGCCAGAATATCTGTCAAATTCTTCTTGAAGAACAAAGGTAGCGACTCCAGCTGATCTGGGATCCTCTTCCATGTTGGCCAGTTCTAGTCAAATATAAAAGGCATAATTATCACAGAAAGCTCTCTATCTTTTCAGATGGAAAGTAAAATGATTCAGTTTATTCTGAAAGATAGCCAGAGGCTGGGCACAGTGGCTCAGACCTATAATCCTAGCACTCTGGAGTCCGAGGTAGATGGATTGCTTGAGCTCACAAGTTTGAGACCAGCCTGAGCAAGAGTAAGACCCCATCTCTACTAAAAACTAGAAAAACTGAGGCAAGAGGATCGCTTGAGCCCAAGTTGGAGGAGGTTGCTGTGAGCTATGACACCACAGCCCCTCTACCCAGGGTGACAGCTTGAGACTTTCTCTGAAAAAGAAAAAAAGAAAAGAAAAAGGAAAGATAGCTGGATATGGTGGTGAACTCTGGAGGCAAATGAACTGAGTTCAGTTCTGGGCTACATCATTATCCACTGTATGATCTTGGGTAAATCTTCCAATCTTACTCCACTGCAGTGTGCCATTTGTAAATGAGAATAAGAGCCTACCTACCTCATAAGGCTATTATGAACATTAAGTTAATTAATTCATATACGTAAAACACTTAGAACAAAGCCTGGACCTTATTTTACCATTTAGCTAGGACTATGAAAAAAAAGAATGCATGTAAAAGATGGTGATATATGTGGCTTAGTGAGTAGGGCGCCAGCCCCATATACCGACGGTGGTGGGTTCTAACCTGGCCTCAACCAAACTTCAACAA